TAGACAAAAAATACTCATCTAAACCAATTAATCTCAGATATTAGACAAAAAACCAATTAGACCTGGTTTAAACATTACCCGTTTCAATCAGTTACCATTACCCGATCTGATCGATTACAATTACATGTTTCAACCAGTTAGACCCGACCAGTTACATTTACTTCATCATATACTCATGTATTAATCTCTTTGAATTCCCACAGCACCAAAAACTCATTTCTCTCTTTTAATAGGCAGAATGAGTGCACCCAGTATATAAGCCTATTCTTCCAAGTATATCTTCCAACATAGCTGCAGGCATCTTATTATGTCCAAGTTTCTCACGAAACTTGATTTCAATTTCAAGACTAGTACCATTCGTTTTTTCCTTCAAATTCAAGAATAAAGTTATTGAAATATTCAATAAATCTACTTTTGTTGGAAAAAGTACTTTGTCTGATGGTCTTTACCGTATTGATTTGCAAAATGATGTCACACCTAATGCATTTCATGTGCATACTGTCTCCAAAAGATGTAGTGTTGGCGAGAATTCCTCTATGTTATGGCACCGGAGATTAGGTCACATCCCCATTGAAAGAATTAAGCGATTAGTTAATGATGGGGTACTTAGTACTCTTGATTTTTCTGATTTTAAAACTTGTGTAGACTGCATTAATGGTAAGCAGACAAAAAGTTTTAAAAAGGGTGCCAATAGGAGTTCAAGTATATTGGAAATCATACATACTGATATATGTTGTCCAGAAATGGACATGCCGGGTCAGAAATATTTTATCACCTTTATTGACGATTATTCTCGGTATTACCTATGTGTATTTGCTTCAAAATAAGTATGAAGCATTGGATGCCTTCAAGTCTTTTAAGGCTGAAGTTGAGAACCAATGTGGGAAACAAATACAAATAGTAAGATCCGATAGAGGTGGTGAATATTATGGTAGATACACTGAAAATGGACAAGCACTTAGTGTGTTTGCTAAGTTTCTTCAAGAACATGGGATTGTTGCCCAATACACTATGTCTGGGTCTCCGGACCAAAATGGTGTTGCCGAAAGGAGAAACCGAACGCTTATAGACATGGTGCGAAGTATGCTTAACAACTCCAATCTTCCTAAGTTTTTGTGGGCTGAAGCGCTTAAGACGGCAACATATATATTGAACCGAGTTCCAACCAAGGCTGTCCCTAAGACACCTTTTGAGTTATTCAAAGGTTGGAAACAGAGTTTCGAACATATGCGTATTTGAGGATGTCCGTCTGAAGTGAGAATTTATAACCCACATGATTTTATTGGATATGCACAGTCCTCTAAGGGTTACAGGTTTTATTGTCCATCTCATACGACTAGGATTGTGGAATCGAGAAATGGAAAATTTCTTGAGAATGACGTAGTTAGTGGGAAAGATCAGTTCAGGAACTTGGTTCCTGTTCATGATCATACGGAATCCCAACCTTCCACGTCATCACAGAGGTTGATTATTGTACACAGTACCCCTCAAGATCAAATTGGTACTGATCAACCTAATACAGAAATTCCACAATATGCTGGAAATATTCCTATGGATCGACCTATTCAGGAAAATCAAATCCCTGAGGAGGTAGTTGAACCTGAAGATCCTCATGGAGATGACGGTTCAGCATTAAGAAGATCTACTCGAGTTAGAAGGCCAGCAATTCCTAGCGATTATGAAGTGTATTTGCAAGAAACTGACATTGGAGCCGACAATGATCCTGAAACGTTTTCATAGGCCATGAGTAGCCAGGAGTCTGATTTGTGACACAAAGCCATGAAGGAAGAAATGGACTCCATGAAGAGTAACAAAGTCTGGGATCTAGTAGAGTTGCTTAATGGGGCCAAGGCTGTTGGCTGCAAATGGGTCTATAAGACCAAAAGAGATTCATTAGGCAACATTAATAGATATAAAGCAAGACTTGTTGCTAAAGGTTTTACTCAAATCGAAGGAATTGACGACAAGGAGACATTCTCCCCTGTTTCTAAGAAAGATTCCCTTCGTGTGATTTTAGCCTTAGTTTCACATTTCAATCTTGAATTGTAACAAATGGATGTGAAAACGACCTTTCTTAATGGTGATCTAGAAGAAGAGGTTTACATGAAACAACCTGAAGGTTTTTCTTCTAGTCATGGTGAGCATTTAGTTTGCAAGCTTAATGAATCCATTTACAGTTTAAAAAAAGCTTCCCGACAATGGTATCTTAAGTTCGATGGGATAATTTCTTCATTTGATTTTGTTGAAAGTCTCATGGATCATTGTATATACCAGAAGGTTAGTGGGAGTAAACTTTGTTTTCTTGTTTTATATGTGGATGACATTTTGCTCGCAACAAATGATAAGAGGATGTTACATGAAGTGAAACAATTTCTCTTTAAAAACTTTGATATGAAGGATATGGGTGAGGCATCTTTTGTCATTGGCATAAAGATCCATAAGGATAGATCAATTGGTGTCCTAGGTCTATCACAAGAAACCTATATCAACAAAGTTTTAGAGAGGTTTCAGATGAAGGATTGTTCACCGAGTGTTGCTCCCATAGTTGAGAGGAGATAAATTCAGTTTGGACCAATGTCCAAAGAATGATTTTGAACGAAAATCCATGCACAATATTCCATATGCATCGGCAGTTGGTTGCTTGGGATATATACTGGTTTGTACTAGGTCGTATATTTGCTTTGTTGTCGGGATGTTGGGCCGCTACCAGAGTAATTCGGATTTGGACCACTGGAGAGCTGCTAAGAAGGTCATGAGGTATCTTAAGGGAACCATTGATTACAAGCTTGTGTACAGAAGAACTGACAACTTGGAAGTTGTGGGTTATTCTGACTCGGACTACGCCGGTTGTGTTGATTCAAGAAAATCAACTTCGAGATATATTTTTTATCATGGTTGGTGGAGCTGTTTCATGGAAGAGCGCCAAACAAACTTCGGTCGCTACTTCTACTATGGAGGCCGAGCTCATTTCTTTTTTATCAGATCAGAAAGATTCAGATCAGATCAGAAACATTCAGATCAGAAAAGTTCAAACATGATTTATCACTTTCATTAATATATTAATTATAATTAATATTATTACTATTCTATTATAATTATTATTAATAATTTTATTAATGATGATAATATTAATAATAATAATAATAATTATAATAATATAATAATATTATAACAGTAATAATATTATAATTATTATTATTATTATTAGTATTATAATAATAATTTCAACATTATTATTATTATTAAAATTATAATTTTAATAATATTAATTATGATTATTATAATTTTAAAATTATGATTATTATTATTATTGTTAATAATTATGATTATTATTATACGGAGTAATTATATTTATATTTATAATTATAAAGATAGAAAACGTATTATAATATAATTGCAGTTATAAATTACTTCGTCTGCCCTTTGTGTTTACGCCGGTTCACTAATCACACTAGTGGCACCTCCTCTTATCCCCCATTTTAGGGCAATGAGCACGGTGCTGGGTGTTTCTCTAATTGATGTAAGTCTGCCTTCTGAGATAGACAGTCTCTTTCTGGATGAAGATGCTATTGTCACAATGGATTGGGCAACAATCGTGGTAATATGGGCGTGTAGCGTAATGTGTCTGTTCAAGTCACTGACTGCTGACAATTTTCAAGGGTTCATGAGCAAACGAGTTAAGGAACTGGTACATAGAGCTGGAATAGTCCCCGATAAGGGGGCAACAGAGACTTTTGTGGTAATGTGATCTTATTTCTACTGGGAGAAGCACAGTCATGGTCAGATTTTGCCCCTATATCTTACTGAGCTTCTAGCATGGAATGAAATGGGAGCTTTCACCTTCATCAGCAAAGAGTTTATAGAGACTCGATCACCAATTCTTCCTGAATTGTCTTTGCGCACTGAAATTAAGAATTTGGCTGAAGCTTTAAGCACCATAAGTTCTCATCCCTACCCGCAGTTTTTCCGTTATCTTGGTCAAAGTGATCAGATGTACAAGCTCTCAAGAAGCAACTTATGAGTCCGACTTCACGAAACTTTGTGTCTACAGACGCTGAAATTCAGACTCCTTCATTCAGGACTATGCTGGCAAAGCACAACGCTCACCTTCAGAGGCATGCACATGAGGAAGCTATGAGACATTATGCATACTTGACAAGTGGAGTTGAGGTTATCCGAGATGACCAGCTTGAAGATGCTATAAGAGCTGAGGCAGGACTATTACCGTGGAGTTAAAGATGACTATCTACTTTGTCCATTTTGCTAAACTATTACGTAGTACATTCTATATTGTGCAGCTTTCATTGTCGGCTTCATTAAACTTTCATCTTCATTACTGCTTTAGGTTGTCTTATGTGAATGGGCAGTGTAATATGTCACTAAGATGTGGGAACTACACTGTGTGGAACTTTTTGGTGAAACAATTTTTGTTGAGGACACATCTGATGCATTTCTCTTTTTCCTATGCAAAACAAAATATGTAGAAGTACTACATCCCATTTTTTTGTCATACTTTTTTTGTTGTTCTGAAATAAATGTTTTATTTCCTTTTTTGGAAAGAAAAATGTGTCATATAATTTTATTTTATTCTACTCAAATATGAGCCATCATTTTTACTTTACAATCACTTTATTAATAATTATGTCAAACCAAAACAAGACACATTGAACAAGGTAGTAGCAATTTACTATTTAAATATTATTAAGATTAGAGTGGTTAGGCATGGAGTAATGTGGATTGTATTGTCAATTGTCATACCTTGGCTGGTTTGTATTGTTTTTGTCAGCTTTTTGATGTTTTGGTTGTATTACTTCAGATATTTTTACTTGGATTTTTTTCGATCGACTTGGATGTTTATAAAATACACAGAGATTGAACATTTATCAAACCAATTCAGACCAGAAAATTTCAATCAAAGTATAAACATCCTTTTAAGTATTGACGTGGTTGGAGTATGCACCATTAACTGCGTACATAATGAAATTATGAAGATGATCATAACCGATAAAACACTAAAACAGCTTCATAACTCAAATTAAATTTTAGACTAAACAAATGAGATGCTAGGACAAAATCTGCATTGCTTCCGATGTTTTCAGATGGCTCATTGTTCATTCAACTACACACAAACAAAACAATTCTTGGGTGAAGGATCTGTGAAAATAAACCACGTAAACATGTTCAATAGGACAAAGCAAATTTTCACCACCAGTTGAAAGAGGATCAGTACAAAAGTTGCCTTATAAATAGCAAAGCACTATGGTTAAGAATCAGCGCTGTAATAGCCACCGCCTTCACTTCCATAAGCAGCGTGGTTATTGTTGTTGTAATAAACACCACCGCCACCTCTACCTCCTCTACTGCCCCTTCCCCTATAGTTAGAATTCCTTGGCCGATAGTTACCAGGTTGCTCATCGTAGTATTGATTGTGGCCACCGTTCTGGTAGGAGGGGCCTCCCCTGCCACGCCCACCACCACGGCCATTGAAACTTCCCCTTCGTCCACCACCACGGCTTCCACCCCTGTGATAATTATTGTTGTTATAGGATCCTCTAGGAACAAATTCCTCTTTTGTATCTTTGGGATCCTCCAATCCTTCCTCTGGATGAACCGCAACAGTTTCAGCAAACGACCCTGATAACTCTTCTGCCTCCTGTTAAAGCAAATGTTAGGCACATTTTTTAACTATTAAAGCAGTGTGCCAAGTCCATAGAGACTAAGCATTAAGAACTCTAGACATACCTGATGATGTTCTTCAACAGTGTTGGCATTTTCTGTTTCATTTTCATTACTAGAAGCTTTAGGTTCTTCCTGAAAAAGCAATGAAAACTTGGCATTGGAAAGATGACTTGGAAAAAAAACTATGCCCGCAATACACACTCTTGTACTCTATATGCAGTAATGATTACTACCACTAAACCATGTGTCATTCACCAAGCTGAACCAATAATGAGAAGGTCAGCATGCATCCTCTCTAAAAAACAACCATAATTAACAAGAATAGCCAATTTGCAAACAGAATCACAAGCTAAAAGCAAAATGTTTCAATAGTTATAAACTCAGATGATACTATTATTACAAATTCATAGTTTAGTACTGAATGTGACTAATTTAAGTCAGCGTGATATATCATGATTACTGTCCTAACATTTGTAGACATTAATACATCAGGTAGGAACAGTGTATAAAACGACCAAACAGCCAAACATATCTTGCACCAAAATTAATAATAGCCAAAGTTTCAGAGATGCTGTGTAAAATAACTTCTTTGAGAACCAATGAAATGTCTACCAAATCAAATTGTGAACTCGTAAAATACTATAATAACTTGTGTGTCACACACACCTAATACACACACATGTAAGTGTATTTGCATTCAAAATTGGATCAATAACAACTATGGTGAATGAGTAAATGAGCTATTAAAATTTCAAGTTATATAAACCCCTTGGGTTGGGGATGAAGAAATGGAACTCTGAGACAAGTTTTCAAGGTGTTTTCATGGAATACACAACCCTACTGGATCTCAATTTTGTACAAGAGTTAACTCGGAGAAAAGTCATAGCATCTTATGAGTAGAATCTGAATTTTAACAACTTAGATTTCAAGTAAAAAATTACAGCAAATGACTTTTGCATAAGGGAATGTTTGCTAAATACTCCCTCCATCCCAAACAGATTTACCAAATTTCCTTATTTACCTGACCCAAAAAGCTTCAACATTTACTTTTTAAGTAAAGAATTTGTGGTTCAAATCATTTCCCCCTAGTGTACGCAACTTTAATTATAATTTTACATACTATCCTATGTGCAAGTCCAAATTGACCAACCTTTATGGGACATAGGGAGTATAAATAATGGAGGCAGAGATCAGAAAATGTAAAGAAACAATGACAGGAAGAGAAAGGCCAAGACATATGCACAAATGATTATAAGACCAGCCTTTTTACAAGTTCAGTTTCACGTATCTCCTTATCAATTTATCATCAAGGGATCTACGATTGATGGAATCGCTATTTGACATAGAATGATAGAAATCTAATACTCCCTTAATTTCAAATTCATTTTTGCATACATAATTATAAGATAAGCCTTTTTGGATGTTCAATTATCATTTATCATCAAGGGATGTAAGTTTGACAGAGAAATATAAAGTATAAAATCCCTTTGTTCCTAAATTATCTTTACATTTTCTTTCATTGACCATCCCTATATTGTCTCCATGTTTCCTTTTAAGGAAAGGACTGTGTGGTCCATATTTTTCTTTCCATTTCAAATATATCGCAACCACAAAATTTTGTCTTCATAGAATCCGTGTCATATTTTTTTCCGGCACATTTTGGACACCTTCAAGTGATCTCTCTACCACATGTGTACACGATTTCGGTGGAAAAAGATTTCCATCATTTGCAATGAAGCCAAAGACTAACTATTTTTTGGCTTGGGAATATGATAGAATAAAGCAAAATGGCTCAATAAACTGTCCGCGCTTCTTTATTATGAAGCAGCAGACAGTCCATGCAATTTTCGACGAGATTTTCACCATGGGTCATCCGGAAACAGTCTCTTTGTGCTTTAGTACAGGGGTAATGATGATCATGATGGTGGTGCACTTAATTACATTCAACAATTTCCCATCTACACAAATTTCCACTTCTGATACAGTGTTAATATATGTGTGTTCTTTTATACGTGTATGTCCCAAGGAACTCAAGTTTAAATGGGGGTGGATAATTGAGAATATTACCACTCTAAGCTTGAAACCTATACAAGTGAATAATGTTAATCGCCCTTCCAACATACTAACCTAGTCAACCATCAACTACCTAACCAACCCCTAGATGTCTAGTAGACTGTGGAGCTTATTCACTTTTCTAATTTCCCAGCCGCCTAGATAGTGGAATTTAACAAAAAGGACAGTGAAAGACCTCTGTGTAGCACCAGAGGTTTTTACATCAATCACTATGAAATACTTTTTATATCCACAATCAATTAAGTGCAGTGGGGCATCTCCCAGGAGAGCTACATAATCTGGCTTGAAGTGGGTATAAGAGAATACAGATCTCTAGTAGAAACGTAAGACTGTAAGAGCTTCCTGCTTCCTACAGAATGCCAAAAGTAGGAACTTTACATTACTCCTGAAAATGCAAGTTCCTGTAAATCAATGTCAACTGACTAAAGAATCAAACAAGTCCACAAAATGCAAGTTGAATCAATGTCAACTTACTAAAGAATCAAACAAGTCCAACACTGTGCATGCAAATAGCAATAGATGATAGATATAGAGAAAGAGTAAGCTTTATTTCAATAACTAATGAACATATAATATAATATATGTGATCAAAGCTGTCTTCATAATACTTGAATTTGCATATAAACATTGGTGGCATTATGACTTCACCTTCTGCTGGTACTGGATTCCAGTATCTTCAGCCTGGGCTTGAGCATCTACAGGTGGAATAGATTCTTGCACAGGGACCTGGTAAGCCGCATAATTCATAACTGGTGCTGCAGTTAAATACTGCGAGGAGATAATCTTGTTCAGCTTCAATCTCAATCCAGAATCTACAAGGAAGCATAAAAGGAATGTATTTAATAATTGATAAAGTCACCTAAAAATAACCTAGAGGCTATTACATATTTACATGTCATGACATTTTCACTAAGAGTAGTGGCTATATAAATCCATTGATAAGATTTTACTCAAGTATAAAGACTTTGAACTCACAAGTAACATTGGAATTGGGTTCAATGGGCTGATCAGAATTTTCAAGCCAGAGCTTGGCATGCTCAATACATTTTTCAAGGGCGTGCTTGTGTGGCAATGAAGAGGTAACAGGTCGGGAAATGAGAAGTCCACTGAGCACGGAAATCAAATCCAGGTCTCTTTCCTCGAGCATATCTGCAGAATCATCATCCTTCATGAAATCGTAGGACAAGCAGCTGCCTCTCTCGAGTGCCTTAGAGTACATCACCTGTGTTTGGTTCTGCAAGGAACTCACATCAAACATGCTCCCGAAGTATAACAGGCTAAGCAGATCCTCAATCATCACTCTCTGGCTATCGACCTTATTATCTCTTTCCACAACATTTTCAGGTTCATCTTTATTATCAGCATTTGAGGTGGCTTCAACAGGGGTCTCCAGTGCTGAGACTTTGTGCCGCTGCACAGCAAGGCTGACTTCTTCCCCGACGGCGGCGGCAAGCGGTTGAAGAAGCTTCTCTAGCTCCTCGATGCCTGCAAGGACGGAAGGCTTCGTGCGTAGGGTTTCCTCCTGTTCCTTATTCAGCGTCTTGCCCTTGGAGACAGAATCCTCCATTTGCGAGATACGGTTCAGCTTCTTCCGAAGGGCACGGATGCGCTTGGTGATGAGGCTGAGGACTGGTCCCTCAATGACATCTGAAGCCGCCACAGCCTCCATGGAATGGAAGGTGGAAATTCTGGAAAGACCCTACAGGGGCGTCCGCGCCGGAGCGAGTGGCGAGTGTTCTGGAAGGGGTTTTTGTTGATAGAGTAGAGTGTCTGAGAGAGGATGTGAAGGGGCGGGCGGAGCAATGGGTTTAAGGCCTTAAAATAGTGGACCACTACTGAACTCCGTCTTTCCTTAAATAATTTCCAGATTACTCCGTAGCTTACTGGCTTAGTTGATTTTTAAGAAATTGTCCTAAATAACCATGAAAGCTAAAAATAATTAAAATATTCCAAATTTTGTAGGGATGTGAGATAAACATCCCAAACATCATGTGTAATTTAAATACCTCAAATTTTATATAAATAGATCTTTTAACATCATGATCGTGTATCATTTCTTTGAAAAATGTAAATTTATGATGTTAATCGCATAATTTAAAATAGCAAATCGAAAACGTTGTAATTATATAGAGTGAGGGTACTACTCTTTATTTTACAATGGAAGTTTAGAATGTTAATTGTATTTTCATGAATGTTAAACTATTTTAAATTATGAAATTAACATAAAAAATCGACATTTAAAAAAAATTATACATGAATACTGTGCTAAAATAACTTTTTATATAAAGTTTGATGTATTTAAATTATATATGAAAGTTTGGGGTGTTTACCTCACACCCCTTCAAAGTTTGGGGTATTTTAATTATTTTCCCCAAAAAAACATGTCCTAAATAACCACAATATTTTTTTACCTAAATACAACGATAAATGTTTTTAAATGTCAAGATAGCATTGTCATTCTTTGTTACTAAGTATTATTCCGTGCCATTGAAAGGATTCTAATTTCCTTTTTTGAACGTCCCATATAAAGATTCGTATTTCCATTTTAGGAAATAATTAACAATTTTAAGTGACAAATTAAACATTAAATATTAAAAATAAAAATATATTTATAACATCACAATTATAAATACTAATTACGGAGTACATTATAATATATACCTGTTGAGGTTTATTCCCGAAGATCCGAAAGCCCAACACAAGCCTTGGATATTGTAGGGATATTGGGTAGGGTTGAAATGTGTATAAAATATAAAAATAGTGAAATAATATCCAACTCAAGAACTTACTTATATTCTTGCTGTTAGGGACGGGCCGAACAGCTTACATCTCAATCATCTTGCTAACAGGCCCAGATTCCCGGGCAGCAACCGGAGAGACACCGTTCGCCCTCGCTTATGGATTTCAGGCTAAGGTCCCAACTGAGGTCTTGGTGCCCACTCACAGAACCATCCACTATGATCCTGAGCAGAATGAGGACAATCTGCGTGCTGAACTCCACTTCATAGAAGAAAGAAGGGATCTCTCAGCTTTACGAATGGAGGAATATCACCGGGCGACTAAGAGGTATGTGGATAAACAGACTAAAATCCGTTCGATCGAAGTCGGAGACCTTGTCCTGAGGAATAGAGAAAAAAGCAAACCGCTAGAGGGCGGGAAGATGTCAAAGAATTGGGAGGGACCATACCGGGTCTGGAAAAAATACCGGATAGGGACCTTTTCCCTCCAGGATACCGAAGGCTGTCCGGCAGGGATATGGAACGCTACGCACTTGCGGAAATTTTATCAATAAAAAACGGCTGTTGCCACCTCTGAAAAAAAGAAAAAAAAAAAAAAGAAAAATGCCGAACGGCAGGGAGAACAATGCTTCCAAAGAGGCCAGAGTTAAGAGGAATATTGCGAGCCGAACGGCATCAACATGCCGAACGGCATCACCACAAACTCGACCAAAAGTCTCACCTTGATCTATAGATGTCATTTATCTCGATCCATGGGGAGCCATCATCTCAGCACAAAAAAAAAAAAAAAAAATATACAATGTGCAGGATACCAAGCCCGGACTCGGCTTGGGAGATGGTGTAAAAGATCTTGAGTAGGACGAACCGGGCGGCATCCGAAGTCATAGGGTGACCGAGCGGGGGATCGGGACTCTGGTCTTAAAATCTTGCCTTAGGCATACAGCTCGCCTCAACTTTATGGTGGTGGAACCCGAGCTGTATCCTGGAGGCGAGTCTCCATTTTGGCAGAGAATAAGGGGGAGACTCGAATTGGGAGCCTTATTCTCAACGGTCCAGGATGGACATCTCAACCTCATGATATGGATGACCCCGGACGGTAAAACCGACGGTATGCATCGGAATTATGGGCTTGGAAGATGGCAGACACTACACGAATTGTGAAAATGTCTTGCAGCAAGAGGTGATTGCCTTGCGGATAAGGAAAAACGCGAATGATAACCCGAACAGGTTACTTTAGCCTTCAGGGAACAACTAGTCGACGGTAATAAACCGGACGGCATGCATCTGAAACATGGTGCTCGGGGGCGCAGCAAGCATTTAACATTGATGACTTGCGCGTTCGGGGAACAAACAGTCGACGGTAATAAACCAGACGGCATGCATCTGAAACATGGTGCTTGGGGGCACAGCAGGCGTTAAACATTATGTCTTGCGCATCCAGGAAACAAAGAACAAACCGACGGAAATCAATTGAACAGCTTGCACCTCAACTTTGGTGTTAGGGACGGGCCGAACAGCTTACATCTCAATCATGATCCTGACTTGTGAAAAAAAAAAAAAAAAGTGTTCGGGAAGCCAGTCATTCGGAAACAGATCAATCTTTATTCTTCGGCACTACTGGCCGGGAATAATACATAAGAAAAAGAAAAGGGGATTACAATAGGCCTAAGCTACGGAGGATCCTTATTCGGCACAGCACCCGAGTTGGAGTTTGGGGGATTGGCTGAATCTGTAGCCTTCTGCCTCTTCTCCATCACCCGTTGATAAGCACGGCAGAATAAGGGATCAAAACCTTCCTCCTTGGGGTCGAAGGGTTCATCGAACGATTCCTTGATCACCTCCAGATTCCGGTCGACCAGCATATCCTGGCACTTAACAAGGGTGTCCTTTGCTAAAGCATTGGCGAAGGCTGTCCCGGACGGGGTCTCATCAAGAAGCTTGAGGCCATCATGTAATGGGTCCTTGCTCCTCTCTAGGAATTCGCCCAGATGTTTGCCGAGGAACTCCCGAGCAGTATTTTCTAGGGCGAGGTTCAAGCCTTTCCCCCTTTGGAAGTCAATCACCGCCTTCGTGGTGATTTTGGAAACATCGGCGGCATAGGGGGCAGGGGGATTATCCCCCTTGGCCTTCTCAATTTTCAGGCCAGCAGCTTCGGCAACCTTCACCTTGGCACGCAGATCACGGATTTCCCGATCGCGTCGTTGGAGCCTCTGCTCCAGTTCGGCCAGCTCCTCCCTGGCTTTGTCACCCTTGTTGGCTCGATCTTGGAGATCTGCAGCCATCTTCCTAGCAGCAGCCAAAAGGGTTTGGCTCTCGTCCAGCTCCTGATGAAGGAGGGTCATCTCTCGTTCAGCTGCTAGGAAGGCCCGGTGATAGTATGTACCGGCCTGTGGAAATAGAAACAACAGTAAGAACGAGTCCAAAAAATGTTATGAGAAGGAAGAACTGAACAGTCAAAGGCATACCTTAAGGGACTCAGCGTGGCCTGCTTCAAATAGGTCGGACCAGTGAGTCAGGTTGGTGAAACCCTCACCAGCCTTCAGAGAGGTACTGCACCACACGGATGATGCAGTCTGCCCAAACAGCGTCCGACATTCGGCTCGGGGGCCCATGGCAGAAAATTCCACCGTCAACCGATCAGGGATCGGGAGACTATCTGAAGCAACACCTCCCCTGTTGCCGAGCTTCGTTGAAGGGGAGGGGACCGGAGGCATCCTTTCCACAGAAGGGTCCGTCAGATCAATGACCTGATCGATCGGGACCAATGCGCTGCTGCTCTCAATTCTTGGCCGCTTGCTAACAGGCCCAGATTCCCGGGCAGCAAAAGAACCTGGCTGAATAGCCTTCTCCCTTCCCTTGCTGACTATGGCGGTGGAGGAAGGAGTAGGAGCAGGGCGCTTTATGGAAACGGGAGGAATCACACCTACAGGAAAGAACGAAGGAAAATGAACAAGAGATTGAAAATCTACCGAACGAACAAAGTAAGGGAAGAAACTTACCGATGCCAGCAGCTAGCATCTTAGCAGGAGTCAAGAAGGACCGTAGGTTCTTGGAACCGGCCAGACGGAGCCTTTCGTACTGACAGAGAATAGATGCATCCACCCTTGGGGAGGCATCCTGAACGGGGTATGTGTTCCACCGGTCAGGGAAAGGAAGCGGCGACCCCACGTATAAGAACACAAATCGTTCCTCCCATTTTTCCGGAGGGGTGGGGTTGTCGGTGAAGAGCGAACGGCCAGGACGGGCCACAAGCCGCAAGTACCCCGGTGGTCCAGTAGGGCTGAACGCCGTAGCAATGCAAAAAGAGATCGGCGCTAGGAGCAATCCCCAACTCATGGCACCAGACAATAAAGCCGTTCAGGATCCTGTAGGTGCTGGGCACGAACTGTGCCGGCAGTACTGATACCCGGCGGAGGAACTCCACAATGAACGGGTGCAAAGGGAACCTCAGACCAGCAACCAAGGCATCCATGTGCACCAACACACATCCCGGACGGTGTCGCATGGGATGTTTGATGAACCCCGCATTGAACTGACGGGGTGGAGGTAGTAATTGGCGGAGCGTCTGTTCTGCATCAGCAGGAAGGCGTTGACGTTGCTTCCTGATGCAATGGAAGTTCAGACTATAACGGGGGGGGCCGTTCAGGCATGCCCTTATTGTAGATGGCTAGGTCATCTCCCGACTGACATCCATCATCAGGGAGGGGCTGTTCGGGATGAAGTGAGGCAGAAGACCCGTTAGAACCCGACGATCGGGTAGATGTACCTTGATCTTTGGGGTGAGCTTTTCCCCTTGAAAGGCGAATCAAAGTGGGTGCCATATCTTCGGAATCTGACGAACCAGAAAAGGCAGACATTAATTGTGAATAACGGAGAAAATTCTAGAGAGAGAAAGCTTGAAAGAATTCAGAAGCAGCAGAAAAAACTGAAACAAAGTAGCTGCATCCTTATATAAGGAAATACAACCGCCAGGAATTCGAATGAATAATGGACACGTGTCAAGGCGGCTGAGAGAAGTTAAAGCATCCTTTGGGGTGGGTGAACACCCGAACGGGGTTGAAATCAGCAAAGTTCACAAACCTATTAAGGCGTTTCCCCGGACGAGATAAAAGGAAAAGG